AAAAAGGAAGACAGTGGGAGATAAGAAATACAGGCCACAAAGGGAGTCTGCTCACTATTTTCATTAGCAAAACACAGCTGCAATAGAAAATGAGACATCAGTGAAAACTACTGTAGTTGGACACAGCATTGTGCAAGCAAGAGACTGGACTGCAGAGGAAGGTTTCAGCAAAATATGCTGAGGGACACAGAGCCTCTCCCAAGCAGCACTTAAATCCAAACTGCCCCAATAGTCATGGAAGGAAAACAAGGGACCTAACACTTTGTTTCATTACACACAACATGAGAAAACAGCATTGTCTGCTGGTACAGACTGCATCTCCACAAGATTTTATTTATTTTTGTGGTTTTGTTCATATACTTTAGTTTGGAGGCAGCTGGGCTATTTTTGTACCAGAATCACTGGTTGATAGGTACTCTGAAAACATTAAAAGCTAATACTGATTTGCTCTAAGGAGGGAAAAAGTACAACACTTTTAATTGGTGGTAAGTAGACAACAGTCTGCGTACAAATACTGCATTTTCAGCTTCAGATGGCTGCGCAGGCAGGCCTTGCTTGCTACTTTATTCCAGCAATCCTCTGTGCAACAACTCCTAGCACTAGAAATTGTGCCACAGGGCTTAATTTCCCCTTCAGGAAAACTAAAGTGATGATCAAGGAAGATTTTTATTTAAAAAACCCTAACCAAACAACATACCATCTCACCTTGCTGATAAGTCTTAACACACACCTTGCACCCAGAGAAGAGAGCAAGTCACATAGCATGACAGTCTGCAGTGCTAGCCAAGAGCTGACCTGGGGGTTGAGTCACAAGACAGAGTGGCATACAGAAAGCTTATCTCTGTGCATTTTTTTTTTCCTCTTTCATCACATGCTTCAGGGGAAGTCAGCTGTAAAACCAGCAGTTTCATTCCTGTAACGAGCTTTAGCTTTGTGTGAGGATGTAAATCATGTCAGAGCATGAGCAGAACTAGTCCCAGGTGCCAAGTAGAACAGCAATTATCCTACAACAGCATTTAACAGTTTAAGCATTTACATATGCCTTACAACTATGAAGTTGCTATGAAGATGCTGCCAAAACCCTGTCAAGGGGCAGAAAGATCACCAGGACCTTCCAAGATCAGATGTTCAGGAAGGAAGCTCCAGGTGTCTCACAAGTATGAGCTCTAAGTTGCCTTCCACAAGTTCTTTTTCATTCAGGAGCCTCACCAACATCCTTGATCTCCGATCAAGGAAACTTTGATATCAGAATTTGCAGGCCACCATTTAACCTTACATTACTACTGCCAAGAAGCTGGGCTGCCTCCATCTGCAGGCCATGTCTCTGTTCAGCAGTGGCACAGTGTGAGTAAAAGCAGCAGATCTATCAGCTGCTATCCCAGGGTAGAGTTCCGCTATATTCACAAGTGGGAACAGCAGCAGTGATCATAACTGCTTTTAAAAGGTTCAGCTAATCACCTTGTAAAACCAGGAACTTGCCAACACAATGGAGCTTTGCTACAGACTCAGATGCAAAACCTTGATTTACAAGAAATGTTTAATTTCTTCCCATGGTTCAGTATTTTGTTATTGAAAATCCAAGCAGTAGAATAAATCTATTCCGAGTATTGTTTTGCTGAAACAAAATACACAGCTTACCAGCTCTGCATCTGGGTGTAAAGGCTGTTATTACACCAGCTGGGGTGCTGATCATGAGACACAGCCAACCCTGAAAAACAGACAGTGCCATCCCTGCAGGCCTCAAGATAGTGCTGCTTTAAAGACAAAAGTACCCCTTATTAATTTATTTCATTACTTTATCAAAGGGAAGGGCAAAAATATCCTACAAACATTCAGAAACTACGGTAAGTCATCAGGTTTATGCATCAAGACATAATTAATGAAGAAACTATAAATACAAATGGAAACATTGTCAAAAACATTTTATAACTTCATAATTTGAGAGCAAACTTCAGCTTCACACTACCCAGTTAGCAAAAATCACTTCATTGTTATGTAATTGGCTAGCAAACAGAGTATTGGCTGTGACAAGTTTCAACCCGAATACACTTAGAAGCAAGTAAAACCTCCACATTTAAAACACATTATTTTTGCAATGTTTGGTCAAAAAAGATAAAGACTTATCATATACCTTTCCTCAAAGGTAAAACTTTCTAATAGGCCAACCGTAAGGTCTTTGCCATTTCCCTGTTACAGACTCAGATGTATCCCTAGGTTGATAGAGCAGGCTGTTCATGAAGATATTTTCCCCTAATCCTCAAGCAGCTCTGTGCAGCAAACCACTATTTTATCCTCAAGTCAGCACTTTTATGATTCCCCATGTCTTCAGTGCAAGCTCTACACTTTTTCTTAGCTTCTGTTGTCTTCTTGAAGATTTCTGTTTTTTTTTTTTTTTTATTTTTTTATTGCTGAAGACAGACATTGGACTCTGGTATTATCATTTGAGCTAATTATTTCTTGTACCCACAAATGGACATAGTTGCTTTTTGATGAGTAACACTGAAGTCACTTTCCCAGACTAACCACACCTGCTAAGCCTCCTTGTGGAGACACAGCTTGTATCAGCAAAACAGTGCTTTGCTTTTGCTGTAATAGTTTACATCAATTCCCAGACACAGTATTTTCACAAGGATGAAAGCTATGCTTCTCAAGACTGCTGCCAGCACAGAGCAGCTGTGCGTGCAAGCACACACACACTTCTGAGCTGTATTAGAATGGCCTCTGGAGAAGACCTGGAGGTCAAGCAGCCCATTTTCCAGTCTTTCCCTCCTCATCTCCCCCCCACCCAATCCTGAGAAATTACTCTGTTTTTTTCCAGCAATGCCTCTTCCAGGACATGGTCAATCACACAAGAACTGTATGAGACTTCTCAGGGCCCCAAAATATCATTACAGAAAAAAGCAAGGCCTCTCTGCTTCCCATTCTTTGACAGCACTTTGTTTTTAAAAAGTGCATTTGAGAAATTTTACATCTCCATCTCATTAGACATTGAATTTCCTTTCTTTGCTTAGTCTCAAGGCCTGCTATGTTCTAGAGATACCACCAACTTTGGATTAAGAATGCTCCCTTCCCTATTGCAATGAGCACCTTTGGTTTACTGTGTCCTAGACAGGTCATCTGGCAGGACAGACAGGGGCCGAGGCAGAAGCCAGTTCACATCAGAAGTTTTCATGGTATTGCTAACATCCACTGTAAAAAGAAAAGCCTGGACCCTGTAAAGTCTCTGCAGCCACCTGAATTTAAATTACCTCATTCTTCCAGAAACAGGCCCAAATTAGAGAAGGACCATCTTTTCTTATTTCAGACTTTTTTTCCCCCCCATAATTTATACACAGAATGCCCCAGGTTTGCACAGCCACTTGGATAAAGCCTAAAACATGGAATGTCTCTCTCTTTCTAGTTTTACTCTTTTCCACTAAGGAAAAACCCCAACACCCACGTGAGTAGCTCATTGCACTTACAGTAATATCCACATAAATTTTACAAAGACAAACAAAAGTAGCTTCAAAGAGCAGCACCCCTTAGGTATCAGGTGAATTACACACTAGGCCCTTCAGATGCTGGATCACCAACACAAAGAAAAAAAACTCAAATTCTGGCTAAAATGAAATTAAGCCCAGAACATGAGTAAGCTACGTGCTTTGAAAATCTGGCAAGGCCACACCATTGCCATAATCCCTCAAGTACAGACAGATATATAGGCACTGTAACATCATTCTTCCTAACTCGGATGAGTTTATTTTGTATCTTACGAGAAGCTGCTGTTGGGAATTCTTTGCCTAATCCTTCATACCTCTTCTCATATTCACTTCTGAAGCATACTACTAAAAAAAGTGCTATCACACAGGAAGATTTAGTTCATTCACTCAGATGTAATGACAACAAGGATTTCATCTTCGCTTTGTGCCTCCAAAGCCTGCAAAGGAAAAAAAAAAATAGCATCAGCTCCATCACAGCCTTTCCATTGGGCTCTCCCCCGTTCTAGAAAGGCTAAAGGTGGTAGGTGAGGCGAGTTAAACATTCACATAAAGTAGAACAGCAAGCAAGTGTTGAGCTGGCTGGCCTGAGAAGTATTCTATGCTTGCAGATCAGACAACCTGTATTCTACAAAGAAATTAAGTTTGCACATGTTTGCTAGAGAAGGGTATGTGTAGTGCATGCCAAAGGGGAAAGACTTAAACTAATCCACCTTGCAGATGAAGACAAACCCAGTGCTGGTGGTACCATGCCCACCATGCCTGTGGGGAGTTTCATGCCCCACAATGCTGCCCTGCTTCCATAGGAAACAGAAATAAGGGACATCGTTACACCTGTACCAAGTGATAAAGTAAAACAAAGAATGCTTGCTGAACCTCAACTAACATATCTATTTTTTTGATAGGTCGAAGTCTCTTGAGCTTCAGGACATTAAAAGGTCTTTTGCCTTACCAGAAGCCGTTCTTGTTCCTGAACTGCTACTGTGTGTGGAATTGCTTGACTGCCCATTCATTGGAGGTGCAGCTGTGGTATCTGTCCACGTACTGTAATGTGGGGAACGTGGCTGTGCTCTGATGAGAAAGAGTAGAAGGAAGGCTTCATTAGTGCCCTTATGAAAAAATTAAGGAATTACCATGCCAAACAACAAGGGGATTGCATCTCTGAGGGAAAACTGTAAGCAGGCAATGGTTTCAAAGCCGGAAGTCTCCCTGTTCATTATATTAAACATACATGTTGATAGCAAGGATATCCAGTATTGTCACAATAACATCTGTAGACTTCCCAAAGGAAGTTAAACCTCATTTTTCAGGATAAGTAATTCTAACTATTGCCAGTGATGAAATTTTCCTCTTTGAAATTCTGTCAGACAAGGAAGTAGATTTGACATCTGAAGCTTAAATGCCATTTTGGCAACACCTACATCCCAGCCATGTAGGAAAAAAGAAAAAAAAGACTCCTCTGTTCTGTTAACCATCTTGAAAAGGTTGTATCAATAACACTAAACCAGCATGACCTTTGACTCACTGATTTAAATTACTTGCTTGTATGGATATGGAATTTCCTACTGGTAAAATCTACAGATAGCTACCTCACACCAGCATTTTCAAGCACATTATTTCAAATGACTGAAAAAAAAAAATAGTGGACCAAAGACTGTTTTCAAAGAAAAGAAGCCCAAGTTAGGAAGCTTGTTCATGTATTTGGACTTAAATATTTAGTTAGGCCTCTAATCTTGAGCAGTAAGAGACTGCTACTGAAATGGGTGTGTGCAGAATGGAAATCAAGGAATGAACCTGTACATAGATAACGCATAAATACACTGCTTAAACACAAGGGTCATGTATTTAAGACTTAAGAAATATCAAAAGTCAATAAAACCATTAACACATTATAAGAAATCTTAGCAGGGTTAATATAATAGAACAAGATACGACCTTTCAACCTCTAAAGCTCTACTCAAAGTGGATTTATAGACTATTTCTACTGTTGATGGCATCACCATCAAAGTTTCACCTTACTTGACTCTATGAGATCAAGACTGCACACTGGGCACTTTAGAAATTCTCTTGCGTCCCAAGTCTTTACTTCCTTAATAAACAGGCAATCCTGATAAGGCTTCTGTCATAATCAAAAAACTTTACAATGGAGGAAGATGCTTTAACACACTTCTGTCCACATGATGTCTTATTCCCAAACTTTCAATATATAAACACATATGTGGTTGTATTTCATCTGTTATATTACTGCATTCCTACAGGATTAGACTCAATACACACGCAGTTATTTGATAAATAGAGGAAACTCCTTGGGCTCTAAAGATTCCCTGCAGGAGCCACATTTTTTCTAGTGAAGGCTGAAACAGCAGCAATTGCTCCCTTTAAACTGTTTATCTAAAACCAATGCATTTTAAAATGTTTAAAAGTGTTTAACAAATATGACCAGCAGATGTTTACTCCAGCACTGAAACTGCTTCTGAATGCTGTTTCTGTTATGTTTTTCCAAAATGCAACTTACATATGACCTACAAACCCTTTGGAAAACCACACCTCTTGGATTTCCATAAAGGGGCAATTAGGAGACTGTAGATTAAAGGCTGTTTAACCTGACTGCAGGGAATATCACAGAAGAGCAGCTGCCATCCAGACTGACTTTATGGAAGATGACACTGATACAAGAGACCCACCTACAGATGGTTTTATGCTTAACATTATCATCTGTGTTTTCAGGCAGTCTGCAGATGGATGTTTAAATGCTCATTTTCAATTTGCAGGCCATCATGCCAAGTCGGAGTAATCAGCTAAAGCAGAGTGAAGTACCTCAGTCCTCCCAATTCTTCTTCCCCAGAAACAGGTTTAAAACATCTCTGCTGCTGGAGCTATAGATCGCTCCTCAAAATCGTTCTAGAAGTAGAATTTTGTAGCTTGAATGTTTCCAAGCTTTCCAGCCTGTATCAATGTAGACATAGAAAATGGCATACCCCCTTGAAAGCTTAAATACTTAAAATCTGATAGCATGCATATTTTACCTGTGACTGCCAGACAAGTAGCCTAGTAAGCCTCCTGCTCCAAATCCAGTCCAAAATCCTGGTCCTGAATTGGTTCCATGACTGGAATGAGTCCCAAAGCTGTTGCCTTCTTAAACAAAATGAAAAAGGAAAACATATCACTTAGTGGTACCTAATCCTCAGGCCAGCTGTTGCAACAAAACTCTCATCTGTTAAAGATAATGGAAAATTAGACCACAAATGCCTCCTGATTTCAGTAGATTCTTGAACAAGCTTCACTTGAAAGGCCTCACGATTTGGAAAGCAGGAAAAAAACGTAGAAACTAACACTGAATATAAGGAGCTTTATGTTAAAAATTAGCTTCCACTCAATCTCGCAGCCCTGATGTTCGCAAAACATGGGAAAGAGCCCCGCCTGCAGATTTATAAACAGACAAGTTAGATTATAAGTAGAAAAGGAAATGAAGAAAAAGTAATCAGCTCAAGGTCACACAGCAGGCCAGAAGCAGACACAGAAATCAAGTACATAAGACCAAAGGGTGAACTAAACCACTAGGACACGCTGCTTCTAAGCTCACTCAAAACAGCTGCACATGTTGTGTAAGGGCGGCTCAGTCTAATGGCTAACATTGCTTTGTGCTGTTTGTGGTAATTCTGGTTGGGTATCTGTTATCAAAAGACATGTTAACTGCAATCACATTGCAATGTTCTTTATTATGGTGGAGTCCCCAAGCTTGACAAATACCCTGATGAAACTGCAAGCATATCAAGTGGGCTTGTGGGGGGAAGAGATACACAGATTTTTCATGTGACCTGCATAACATGAGGCTCTGACTCAGAACCAAATGTCTTACATTTAGAAATAAAAAGAGAAGACATAAACAAAGTAGAATAATTTCTTAGTCTAGAGAAAAACAAGGATGCAAGAATAAGCTCAACCACAGGTTTAACACAAAAGGAAATTTAAGAGGGAAGGGCTGAAGATTACATTCTCCCTGAAATATGCCCACCTAAACAAGTGGACCAGAGATACTGTGTGTAAAAGTTATACAGGGACTAGGTATGTCTTCAAGCTGGTGTGGACTGTTTGAAGTCATGGAACATTAAAAAAAACAATTAAATAATCAGTTAATGTCTACATTGGATTTGATACCGAATGTAATTTTGAATGCGCTGGGAAAAAGACAAACTCTCATTGTGATGACATACCCATTAAACCATGCTGATTTGGAACAAAAAAGAAAATAGTACTTAATTTACTGTAAAAATGATGTTAATGAGGGAGATGAACCAACTTATTTGTTGAAAAGCACCATGGCTGAACACTGACTCTGAAAATTTTCAATTGAAATACCCCAAAATTGAAAATTTTCCATTTTTTGTTGAAATATCTAGAGTAAACATTAAGGGTTGTGTCAAACTGCTAAGAGAAAAAAAAGCAGAATTTAATTAAGATAGGCTAGCTAAACAAGTTTCACAGGACATATCCTGCATGTTAAGGGGATTTAAGATGAGGCATATTAGATGTGCTTTTGCTCAGCTGTCAAAATTTAAAGGCAGATACTAAATGCAAGAAGTATCATAACACTTAATATTTTTAAGCTAGCCTCACATTCAAGAGGTTTCCTTGTTACAGTGTTTGAACTCTAAAGAGAAATCACGATACTCGTTATTAAAAATGCTGTAAGTTAAGCCTTAATATGGCTCCCACCACACATTTTAAGTGTCTCCATTTTCAGTATTAATCAAGAAAACACCTTCAAGGTGCTAGATTTCAGACTCCTGCAAAGAAAAAGCACTGGTGCAATTAATTGACAAGGAACAGCACAGAAGAAAAAAAAGCAAGCAACCCTTCACTCAGTTTTGCCTGTGCCCAGTAGGACAGAACCCTGTCTTATGACCAGGGCTCTTAGTAACTACCACAATAATGCCAGAGGCACGCACACAAAAGTTACTGACGCATGCTCATAGACAGACCGTCTGAAGTCTGAAATAACTACATGGAAACCAATTTGCAAAGCCACTAGTAAAACAAAAACATAATCCCTTTTAATTTTCCGCTGCTGGTACACCACACATGCCCTCCACACGGGTATCCAAAAGAATTATACTGGCACCACCTGTTGGCCAAGTGCCTTGAGCAAACCTGGAAGAAAGCATTAACAATCATTACTAAAATATAAGTTTTTGACTAAGCAGACTTAATCCTTGCTATTTATTTCCTTGATAGAACCCATTCTCTATCTCACAAAAAAAAAAAAAAAAAAAGAAAGTTTAGGCAACTCATCCGAATATAATTTGAGTTCCAGTGCTGTGAGTGTTTCACATCCTGGCAGGGTTTAATGAGTTGGTCAGACGCCAGATGAATAATGTTTACTTCCCTTAGACACTATGATGGTCTAAGGCAGACCATTTATTAAGTGATAAAAGTAATCAGTTTTCTGGGAAAAGAAGAAGTGCACCTTTTCCTAGCAGTAGCCTTGTCACCACTTATACAATTTCCAACTTCAGTTGAAAGGTACCATGTGAGATTCAGGTTCTGCACCTCTAATGACAGCTGACAGACACCATCCTCTGCTCTGGGAGCCAAACCACTGGGACTACATTGAAGCACCTGTTAAACCGAGGGCTGGTATGCAGCACTCAACTCCATCAGCTGTTTTGTGAATAAAATTGGGGGCAGCAGCCCAACGGCTGAAAGACCCTTCCATAAAGTTTCAAAGCGCTTCTTCAGCATGAGTTTGTTTCTGCCTGCATGAGGCTATCCTCTCTTCCAGACTACTTATGAAAATTATTTTTCCCCAACACAATCCTCATATTTCACAGAGTACGAAAAGAACGTTTGCAGAGCATAGGATTTTCAAAGGGCAGCTTACTGCACAGCCTGCCCTGAAAGCCTGTGGAAAACCAATTTATTATTTTTGCTTTTGAACAAGGAACAGAATGCAGAGCTGACTGCATGCTCTGCAGCAGAGTCAACTGCTGATGCATTGGTTTTAAATCTATCCCACCTGCACTTATGGCAAATAAAAGAGTACAGCCCTGCTTGCTCTTCTGAGTACTGTAAATGGATCGGAGCCCTACCTGTGAAGCTGGGCTTAAAACCAGGAGGAGGAGGTGCGTGCTGACTCTGCCAGGAAGGCCTAGTGAATCCATCACTGTCACCAAAACTCTGCTGAGGCTGCTGGTTACTGAGGAAGAGCTTGTACACTCCAAAAGCAAGAACCAGAAGAACAATTATAACAAGTGCTCCAGCACCAGAATCGGAAGGATCCTTCCTTGACTGATGATAGCCAGAGCCAAAACTTCCAGAGTTCTTCACTTTCCTTTCACCTTCTTCAGTCAGCTCTAGTCTGAACAGCAAACTACAAGAGCCTCTTAAGACATAAGGATCATCTGGATAATCGTAGCCTTCACAGCTCACTTCAATCTGTCCAAAACGGTACGTATGTTCCAAGTCTGCTTTGCACTGCCACTGAAAAAAATAAACACAATACAACGTAAAACCTACTGCTCCAGAGATGAAAATACCCATCTGCTTCCCCAAATATGCTCCGAAATAAAGCAGTAATTGCTAACAAATAATCTAGAAGTCCACAGGATAAGAAACTTCTGAGCACTCTGATTTTGAAAAGGACTAAGAATTTGAAATTAACTAAGATCATTTTTTAAAATACTGAAAGTTAAAAAAAAAAATCTCATCTTTCAGAACGCAGAAGTGTTACAACCCTGGAACATTTTGATCTTCTTCACTCAACAGGTTTTTCAAATACTCCTTTTTTAGGTATAAGAATACCTCTAAAAATAACCTGTAACCTGTGCCCCATGTAAACTGGATGGCAGCTACAAAAACATAATATGAAAGCCTGAAATCCAGTGCACCTGATCCCATCTGTGTCCACACAGAAATCAAGACAGACATTATTAGGCATTCATAAGCAACACTTAACCAGATTGCAATTCTGCTGTTGAATATATGTGGATTCCTCAGTCTCACGCTTCCTTGAAGTATCTGAACTTCGGTAATACCTCTAACTGCAAGTGACATGTATTTTTAAAAAAAAGTTTCTAAATTAATAATTCAGGACAGCAATACCAACTGCTAATTAAAATTTGACTGTACTTCTACAGTAGCATATCAGTTTCAACAATTATCTTCAGCCTTGATTCCTGGTTAATCTATTGGCAGAAGCCTAGGTAATGGCTAACAACTGAAATATGTGACTATTTATTGTCTAATACTGGCACATAACATGCAAGAAGAAGCAATGTAAATCTGAAATTTAGTTTTTAAAAGGTAGAGCGGAAGTGATGCATGTATTTATAGCCCTTTCCACTCTAAAAATTGGAAAACCATGCAGCAATGCAAAAGGAAGAGCATGCTCAAGGGTTCATGAGAGTTTGATTTTATGAACTCAAGCAATATTTTAATTAAAACCAACAAAGGTTTGCTATGCAGTGTTTTTATGTTACAGCCTTCAAGAATATCTCAGAGATATATATACCTACAGCAGCTGTAGAAAATCCAAACCCGAAAACTATTTAGGTTAAGCTTTAGTTGCCAAAGGCCCTCTAACAAAGAGCAAACTGAACTGACACCCTCGCCTGTTACTCTCTTCTCCTTCAGCAGTTACCGAGTCTGGGGGAAGACGATTTCATTAAGTGTTTAACAAGTTTTAAACTGTTACCTGTACATCGTAGCCATCCCAACCTTTGTTGTAACACTGAACAACCTCAGGGATGCGGGAGCACCCAGCAGTGCCTCCAGTGCACTGTAACTGCGGGACCGCAGCCGTCCGCCGGGATGTCGTGTACTGACCTCGGTGGAGCGTGAGCGCCTGCACCTCCCTCAGCAGAACCCTCCCTGGAACGGAGAGCACAAAGGTCAACGCGCGCCCAGAGGCGCTGCCCGTGGCCACAAAGGCCTTCTTTCAGGAAAAGACTGACGATACGGAAGGCTTCTCCCATCGGCGAAGCTCTAAGGGGCACCAGGCAGGCAGAGGGGAAGACGGCAGAGATCCCGGCTTCCTTCGGAGGGGGCTCTGGGTTATTCCTCTCACCCACCGACCGCACAGCGGGATTACTGCTGCGGCACAAGCC